TTCATAAAGCTTAAACGAGGATAAACTTCATAAACAATATATTTCATCCGAACAATTTAAATTATTAAATGTCATCTTTTAAATAAACTCTCGTACGTCAAATTGGCTGAACCGGGGAACATAGATAAGTGTTTAGTGCAAGTACAAACAAAGGTAAAAGGTTAGAATCAAATATAGAATTTAAGCTAACAAAAACAAAATATCCAAAACAAGTCTACGTTATATTAGGCCTATATTGAAAAAAAAAATGTAAACTTTTCAAAAATTCGGACAAATTCGGCCAAATATAGTTTGGCCGTGACTTTTCAAATGCTACGGCCAGACAAATTTTTATACGGCCAGATTTGAGGAATCTGGCCGTCAAAAAGGCCAAATGGCAACCCTGCCTCCAACAGGAAAATTCCCTGCACTTGATTTGTACATCAACAAATGCCGCCATGACATTAACAAGAATGTTCTCAAACAACGCTCCCGATCGGAATCACTATCTGTTGGTGAGAAGAAAGCTCTGTTTAATCTTCGAAACAACTCCGATTTGATCATCAAACCTGCCGATAAGGGTGGTGCTAATGTTGTCTGGCGCAAGGACTTGTACATATGTGAAGGTAATCAACTTTCTGATAGGAACACTTACATTTCTGTACCATTCGATCCTACTCCTGATGACCAACGCCATGTTAAGTCTGTTATTAATGATATGATTGCTAACGAAGAATTACCTTCAAGTGCATCTGTTTTAATTAATCAACGCCCTAGTTGTTCTAAATTCTACATGTTACCGAAAATTCACAAAGATAACTCTCCTGGTCGTCCTATTGTCTCAACTTGCAACTGTCCTACAGTCATCATCAGTGAATACTTGGATAGCGTGCTCTCTCCTATCGTCAAGAAACTTCCTACCTACATTAATGATACTAACGATGCTATTCGCACATTCAAGGGATTTGAATTTACCGGCCGCCATAATTCAATGGTAACTTTTATCAGCAAATATCCGGTGTCGCTATGGGAACTAAAATGGGACCCAGCTTTGCTTGCTTGTTTGTTGGATGGTTAGAACAACGTATTTTCGATTCATATGATGGTACCAAACCCGATATGTTTAAGCGCTACATTGATGACTGCGTGGGAACAGCCTCGTGTAATTATGACGAACTCACTAACTTTATATCCTATGTTAATGACTACCATCCGGCAATCAAGTTCACCCACGAAATTTCTGCTACCAAAGTTGCATTTCTTGACATTGAACTATCTATATCTGGTAATAGTATCTCTACTAGTATCCACTATAAACCAACTGACCCACATACCTACTTAACGTATAATTCGTCTCACCCCAGTGCATGTATACAAGGTATTCCATATTCTCAATTATTGCGACTACGAAGAATTTGCAGTGATGACGACGATTTCTCGAATCAGGCAGTAGAGATGATGTCATTTTTCAATCAAAGATACCCCTCATCTGTCACCAACCAGGCTTTCGTCGTATTACAGGTACCTCCCAAACCGACGCTCTAGAACCCACTGCTACTTCGTCCACTAACAGAGTTCCACTTATTATGACATTTCACCCGACCACTACCAAAGTTGCTAGAGTCATCAAGAAAAATTACCACATATTCCAGACTGATCCATCTACTAGTGAGATATTTCAGCTTCCTCCACTATGTGCCTATCGTCGTGATGCCAGTATCCATGACTTACTTGTACATTCTTCACTTCAACCTATTTCTGAAAGACCTAAAGGTTCGACTACTCCTTGCCATCGACCGAGGTGTAAGACATGTAAACACGTTGTATCACTTGATCTACTTAAGGGACCTTTATTAGTTTGTTATGCTGTGGTGTATTTTCCCAACCAGACGTCGCACTACCTTAACTAAATATGTTAATATAAACTATAACATTAATGATAATGATATAATAATGATATAATAATAATAATTATAATAATCATGTTTTAAAATCTTGCAAGTTTGTTGATTGTGTTTCCCATGGTGTTTGTGACAGTATTAAGTTCGCCATTTTTGTTAATGATTTTGAATGGATTTTATTATTTTATCTCTATTTGATTAATTTGTTACTTCTTTTGATGTGATGCTTTTTTTATGTGATGCAAATTTTATATTTTATGGATTGGATTGTATTGTATGTATACTGGAATGTTTTCTCCCAGGGGAGACGAATAAAATGAAATTGAAATTGAAGTAATAATAATAATAATAATAATAATAATAATAATAATACAGTAATAGCATAATAATTATAATAATAATAGCATAATGATAATAATTATAATAATAATAATAGCATAATAACAATAATAATAATAATAGCATAATAATGATAATAATAATAACGTATATAATAATAATATAAATTATATAATATATAAATATATAATATAATAAATATAATATATATATGTATGTATATATATGTATATATATTTATATGTACAGTATGTATATATATATATATATATATATATATAATATTTTGACATACATCATGAATCGCCTAACTGCAAGATCATTTTTTTTTTCAAAACAAGACATGAACCGCTTCGTACCTTTTGAATTACTTCAAAATCAAGTCAAAATATACTTTTATTTTCCATAGAATAAATTAATACTTCAAAGTTATTTTCTTCATTAGACATAGTCCGTACCATGCTGCTATGCTCTAGAAAATTACTTTTGAAGATATATTTCTAAAGCAATTCTATTGTCGACACGCACGTTATTGTTTGGTTCTTTAAAGCTGTTTAACTATTTTGCACATGATTTGAATGACGTTGTGTAAATATACTTCATCAGTATACGTTTTATTGATGAAGTATATTTACACAACGTCATTCAAATCATTTATGTCGTTGTGTAAATATACTTCATCAATACGTTTTGGTTTCACATCGCTGAAAATAGTGTAGATGATTGTTCTGTTGGCGTCAATATTTTTTTAAAGTTTCAATAACCACAACTAGTTTCTTAAGTGAGTACGACAAAGTGCTATCTGAATTTGGGAGGATTTTCACATATCTTTGGGGTAGCACAGTATATCTTTACCAAACGAACATGTTCCTCTGTATCACGTTAGGTGGAAATATTTTCCCACTACCCTATTCCTCCTTACCTGGTCACCTGTATTAAGTAGAGGTGTAATGACGGAACCATCTTGATTATTCAGAATTAGATTCAGACAACGAAACACATCTCCAACATGTTCTTGTGGCCTAGAAAAACCTTCACTGAAAGAATATAAGTGTAAATGTATCAGAATAAATTGAAAATATGTGCTGTAAAGTTTAACTCCAACACATAATAACAACAACATATAATAATATTAATAAGTTTCTTCACATACTTCCAAAAAAATTGAGTTTCCTATTAAGTTTATACTTGTTATATTATAGTCTGTTTTGTATTTCCCAGAAATGCCTGTGTCATATAAACCTTTGCCACAATTGCACTAAACAATTAGGAAACATTCTGGTAAAACATGTCAGCTGCAAAATTTACACCAAACACTTGTCCATCAATTTGGTCATAAAGATCGGCAATATTTGTCATAACTCCAGATATGTTTGTTTACAAACTTGACAACAAGTACACTTTGAAAACATTTAGCGATCGACCTATATCATAAATAACATGCAGTTAAAGATTGTTCATTTTTTTTTTTTAAACAGAGAGCAAAGAATTGTTTGAACTACGTTTCACATGTAGCGATATTCATCAAATTGATTAGAGGTACCTACCCTATAGCAGGATGACTAATATTGTCAATGGCAATATGTTTGAAAATGTCTTTCAAATTCAAGTTCCAAATTAAAAGGAATTAAAAGTGTTGGTATTCGGTACTGAGTGCTCTGTGTGTAAAAAAAAAATCATTGTAGTGGTAGCTGTTCAGCATGACCAAGTTATAACCACAGACGAAGCACTGTTGCATTGCTGTCAATCATAGGGTGAACGAATGATCAGGTTGTCCAACTTTCAACAGGCATGAATGTACTCTTAAAAATTATATTAACTATTATTATATAAACTATTATTATATTTAAACTTAACTGTTCAGCTTCAAAACACATGAGTCGTTTGAATGGCAGGTGCTTCGGCAGCACAGACGTCCACCAGCAGTGGTGTATCTCACGTAGATCTTCTTCTTTGTTTTGAGCAAGCCTTCTGACATCAAGACCTAGACTTAGTTTCAAGGACCCAATCAGGGACGTTGGTGTTGGACTATAATCTCCTGTAAGATGATTTCCCGAAAGGTGAGCATCAGATGAAAATAGGCCTGAATGCAGTGGTATTATTTATAATAATCTTCATGGTGATTAATAAGATTATCAAATTTCTTAAAGTTCCATGTTTTGGTTAATAATCAATACTTTATTAACATTTGTTGTCATAATCACAACTTGAAATTTAGTTTAAAATTTACCCAATTTTCATAGCAACTAACCATAATTTCCTACAAAGTGCAAACCTTTGGCAACGTATTAAAACACGGCAAGCTTGCCTTGTTAGATGCTATCATACAGTATGTGAAATAAAGGAATGTGAAGACAAACTCACCTCGAAAGGCAGAAACAACCACAATATCAACTTTTTCTTCTACAGGAAGTTTAGTAATGTCGCCGAAACAAAGCTCAATATCACAGGTCCCTAACTGAGTTACCACTGGGATCACATCTGCAACAATCAGGCTCACCATTTTGAAGCTAAATCCCTTCTCAAATTTCATTCCTAAAAGTGATCCAATAATGTCAAATTGTTAAAAAAAAAAAGAATATGCTACCTTTGTTTGCCTATCACAAGTAAAAAAATTTATGATTAGGGCATCTCTAGACGGCCGGAAATTACACTCTCGCACTTCAATTTGAATATATTTTTGTTTTTTCCCTTAAAAAATTAAGGTGGGGGGGGGGGGCTTGAATCCACCTCTGCTCAAAACATTCTTTATCCAGAATAGTCATAATCACGAAAAATGGACATGAAAAAGCAGATCACATCCTAAAAACAAACGGCATTCACTAAGCCATACATCAGGAGCCGACTCGATGGATTTTAATGTCATACCCAGGGAAGGGCACAGATCTGTTTTGAAAGGTGGAGGGGGAGGGCATTTTGTGAGTCGACACCCACCTCAGCCCCACCATGGTTGGAGCTGAGGTGAGAAAATTTGAGGAAATAGTACCTCTAGATGGCCAGAAATGACACTTTTAGTAAAATTCATCATCTTCACATCACCGTTAGTCAAAATGAAGCGCCAAAAAAATTCTCATGATCTTTTATCAGGAATTTTTGACAACCATAGAGATCTTATTAATGTGTGTGTGATATACCACAGAAAACAAAGCCTAAAAACATTGTCTTTGAGTATGTACTTTACATAGGCCTACTTCAAAAACGTGATTTCACAACCACCTCAGACCCACCATGGCTGGGGCTGAGGTGAGAAAATTGGAGGAAATAGTACCTCTCGAGATGGCCGGAAATGACACTTTTATATAGTAAAATTCATCATCATCACATCACCATTATAGTCAACAAATTTCTCATGATCTTTCATCAGGGACCTACTTAATATCCAGGACAACTTAGGCCTAACTATAGCTTACTAAGCTTTAACTATATATACTATATTATGATCAACAAATCACAACTTTTTTTCGCATTTAGCACAATTTTCTTTCACTCTTTATTGTTATTAATATTAATATCAATTATTACTATCGTCATCATCATCATTGTTATTATTATTATTATTACTATTAGTAGTAGTATTATTAAACAAACATTTAAAGAAACTTGGAAAAGGATAAAAACGAAATTGAACCACAGTATCGCATTTCTATCTTAAAAGACCTGGCCTGAGATTTATGGATTTCAAATTTTTTTAAATCACGCTTAGGCTTATGTGTTCTGTTAGGCCTGTGTATAACGTGTACTGATGCATATTTACATGTTTTAGAAGTATTCATTTTGAGTGATCCCAGGAAAGAATTTGTATTGGCTCAAGAACAAGCTTTAAAATTTTAACACTGTGTACAAAGGTGGGGGGGGGGGAGCCGCGGCTCCCACGAATCCCCCTGGATACGTCTCTGTTGTAGACTGGTTTTGGGGTAAACAATCAGTTGCTACACAGTGGTAGACTTTGTGTCTTAAATAATAATTTGTTCCGTATGCATCAACTTCAATGTAATTTTAATCAACTCGCATTGACAAAGGACATCGAAGTTGCAATAAATAAAAGTGAAGTGAGCGCCTATATTCGTTGATACTAGTTCAATGTCTACTGTAATTTATCAAAACGTAGGCGTAAATTTCTTAAAATGTAGATCTAGTTTCCGAAAATAAAGTTCAAATTTTTCAAAAAGTAGTTCAAATTTTCCAAAATGTAGATCTAATTTCTTTAAAATGTTATTCAAATTCAAAACGTAGGTCTGACTTGATCAAACGCCCTCTCCAAATTCTATTCCACAACGTAAATCAAAACCAGCCAAGCATGATTGGTTTGAAATACATTTTACAACACAAGACATGAGAAGTGTAAATCTAAAACTAGTCAGCCAAGCGCGACGTAGGCATGTTCCAATAATGATGGGGGAATCATTTTTCGCTGCAATCCAATGCCGTGAACAACGCTTCCCAGGCAGTGGCGGCTCTAGGATATATTTTCTTGGAGGAGGGGGCGCTAAGTTGTCCGACAGGGGGATTTGAGGTCGTAGACTCGAGCTGGGAGAAGGGGTTGAGAGGGAGGCTTCCCCTCTCAAATGAGATTTTTTAAAAATATATCAACCTCTAGATGGCCGAAAATGGCACTATCGGACTGTAACAGACATGTGTTGGCTTGGTGTGGGCCTATGTTAATATGTCTTATGGTCTGACTGCCCGACGAGCTCTGTCCGGCGGGGGGCTTGACCTGTCCGGTATGGGGCTTAAGCCCCTCCCCTGCCACCCCGCTGGAGCCGCCACTGTTCCCAGTGCGTCTGCTAATTTTTAATAGTCAGGGTACCGCGATCACGAGCCTTATAGTCCAGCAAACTTTGGTTGGTTGCATTTTTTTTTGCTATATTTTTTAAAAATTGGATATGATGTAGAGTAGACATAGATAAATCAAAAAAGTATGTGCAACATTTTTTTTTCATACGTAAGGGGGAGGGGGGTGCCAGCAGTTTCAAAATGGCCGCCATTGTTTTGCTTATTTCACTCTATTTTGTAACTTTGTATTAATTTTTTATTTATCACTTATAGTTCTGAGATTGGACTAACTATACAGTTCAATTTTTTTTCTGTGTATTTCATTCATTTTGTATGGGCCACTATGTTTAGCTCTCTACTTTCATTATTTACTCTCATAGACATCAACAGTGCCATGTATAAACTATTTGTTATTTTAGATACACCCTTTATTATTATGTTAATGTGACAAGATGATCTGTCTAAGCTATTTGATTATGTCTTCACTTACACGCTGAAGAAGGTTGTAGGAACAACCGAAATATACATGAAACTTATATAAATATATATGAAACTAAATAAATATTTTTGTGTTCCTTAAGTCTACCTTCGATGACTGTATTTTCATTTACCATCGTCTCCATATTTTTCTATCTTACTTTGAACACACGTGCTTACCTATGTTATATATATGTATATATATATGTATATATATACATATATATATTATATATACTGTACATATACATACATATATATAATGTGTGGGTGGTGTGTGTGTCAGTATTATGTAACCATATTACATACTGTGATTTACTTAATATTTACCTACATCAGTGATTTTATAATATGCTAATGTTCATTATCACTTTCTTCATCACTGTTACTGTCTGATGAATCAGAAACACTAGAAAACAATGGAAAGTTGTTTCAGGAACTCCCTTCCGCTTCGCAGTTACATATCTCAGTACGCTGAAGATTATTTCTCCTACACATGCATGTATTATTTGAACATGTACTTATTGAACAGGTACATCAGATAAGCTCAGCAACTGCTTCAGGGGCAGCCTGTTTTTCCGACAAGACAGGTCTCAATTTACCATCAATTTTGCATGGATCATGGATTTCTGGATGAATAAAAGTATCCTGGCTCCATATATTGGCCTGCAGATGTGCATGCTATATGCTGATATAAGGCTCCTGCAGTTGGTGGCAGCTTATCTACACCTTGATTGTTTGGCAGAGTTTTGAATCTTTTCCATCGTAAAATTGAGGCATCTTTAGCAGATACTTTCTTCGTTCAGAGAAGACTACACAAAAACTCCTTGCATCCCATTCTCACATTAATGATGGCATATTCCCTTCCCCACATGCTTGGCCAAAGCATGTAAACATGAGGTGGTGATTTCATAAACATCTTAAGGGCTGTTTTTTTCCAACACCATTATTATGCCCTGTAATATTTTTTATCACAACCGGTGATAGCATTGAAGCCTGGTAATGTCACTGCTCGTTCTGGTCCAAGATGATCGTCTATTGGCTGAAGAGCCACTCTTCTTCCGGTTTCAGTGGTACCTGTCACAATTCACACGGCAAGATGTCAAAACAAACACTCCAGAGCATCCTCCAACAACAGCTGTAAGCACACAAGAAGAAGCTGATGCTCTAATGATTCCCCATGGCATAGAAGTGGCCTCTGAATCTGGGAATGATACAGACTGGTTTGTATTGATCTTCAGAAGACTTCCACAACTTGGCATGAATACTGTAATTTGTTTAGTCTTCATGGAAAGAAGAAAGTATCTGCTAAAGATGCTTCAACTTTACGATGGAAAAGATTCAAATCTCTGCCAAACAATCAAGGTGTAGATAAGCTGCCACCAACTGCAGGAGCCTTATATGAGCATATATTGTGTGTACATCTGCAGGCCAATATATGGAGCCAGTATACTGTTATTCATCCAGAAATCCCTGATCCATGCAAACTGGGCTGGTTTATGGAAGATGGTAAATTGAGACCTGTCTTGTCAGAAAAGCAGGCTGCCCCTGAAGCAGTTGCTGATTTTAACAGATGTACCTGTTCAATATGTAGGCCTACATGTTCAAATAATACATGCATGTGTAGGAGAAAATTAATAATCTTCAGTGTACTGAGATGTGTAACTGCGAAGTGCAAGGGAGTTCCTGCAACAACATTCTATTGTTTTCTAGTGTTTCTGATTCATCAGACAGTGATAGTGATGAAGAAAGTGATAATGAACATTAGCATATTATAAAA